TTTAGTAGAGACAGGGTCTCGCTCTTGCTGAGGCTGGTCTCGAACTCCTGACCTGGAGCGATCCACCCGCCTTGGCCTCCCAGAGTGCTAGGATTACAGGTGTGAGCCACCGCACCCGGCCCCATTTCACTTTTTGTTATTCTCTTCTTCATAGAGGCTGTCATCTGTATACCATCAGGTCCAAGTTTTTGTTTACAGACAATTGATCACTAAGTAATGGACTTTACCGTGATGACTGAAATCTTCTGTACTTGCTTTAACTTTTATTTTAAAATGTTACAGGTTCATAGGTACAGGGAAGTCCCAGGCACTCTTCACTCAGCCTCCCCCAGTGGTAACATTTTCCATCTTGTACTGTAGTACAACGCTGCAAACTAGGAAATAAACATTGGTACAAGCCACAGAGCTTACTCAGATTTCCTGGGTTTACAGGCAGTTATCTGTGTGTATGTGTATAAATAGTCTGTACAGTTTTATTACATATGTAGCTTTGTGTAACCACCACCACAATCAGAATAATTTTGATATTCCAAGAAAGTTGTATAAATGGAATCTACAGTTTGTAGCCTTTTGTGATTGGCTTTTTTCCCTCAACATAATTCCCATGAGATCCATCCAACTTGTTTTATCAGTAGTTCCTTCTTATAGCAGAGTAGTATTGCATGGTATGAATGTACCACAATTTAACCATTTATTTACTGGTTGAAGGACATTTGAGTTGTTTCCAATTTTTGGCTATTATGAATAGAGCTGCAGTGGATATCTTTGTGCAAGTTTTTACATGAACATAAATTTTCATTTCTCTGGGATAAATATCCAAGAGTGCAATTGCTAGGTTCTATGATAAGTGCTTATTTTTAAAAGAAACTGCCAACTTGTCTTCCAGAGTCTCTGTACCATATTATGTTCCCACCAGCAATGTATGAAGGATCCAGTTTCTACATATCCTTGGCAGCGTTTGGTCTTGTCACTACTTTTTAATTTTAGCCATTCTGATAAGTGTGTTGTCATATTTCATCGTGATTTTAATTTTCATTTCCCTAATGGCTAATGATGTTAATATCTTTTCATGTGCTTATTTCCCATCATCTATATATTCTCTCCATGAAATATCTATTTATGCCTTTTCTAATTGGATTGCTGATGAGTTTTGAGAGTTTTTTATGTATTCTAGAAACAAGTTCTTTGTTGAATATGTGGCTTGTAAATATTTTCTCCCAGTTGGTAGCTTTTTTCATCCTCTTAACAGGGCATTTCATAGAGCAACAGTTTTTAATTTCGATGAGGTTCAATTTATCAACTATTTCTTTTATGGATGGTGCTTTTGATATCAACCATAAGAACTCTTTGCCTAATCCTAGGTCTGCAAGATATTTTTTTCTCTAAAAGTTTTATAGGTTTTACATTTTACATTTAAAGCCTATCATCCATTTCAAGTTAATTTTTATGTAAGGTATGAGGTTTAGATTGAGGTTCATTATTTTACCTATGGATGTCCAATTGTTTAAGCACCATTTGTTGAAAAAGCCCCCTTCTGCCATCCATACTAATTTTTAATACAGATTTTCAAAAATCATCACTTTATATTTTTATAGGCTCGAGAACTCTTCCTAAAAGCAGTAGAAGAAGAACAAAATGGAGCTCTTTATGAAGGTAAAAACTTGGGGCCCAGGATCATATTTTCATGGTATTTCTGAATAACAACTCTGTTACCAATTTTTTGTTTTTTACTGTAACATATTTGGTCAGAACAACAGTCTTCTTATATAGTTGTCCCTTGGTATTCATGAGGGATTGGCTCCGGGACCCCCTGTGGATACCAAAATTGGGGGGTGCTCAAGTCCCATATATAAAATGGTGTAGCATTTACATATAACCTACTCACATCCTCCCATAACTTTAAATTATCTCTAGATTACTTACGATAACTAATACAATGTAAATGCTATATAAATAGTTATACTGTATATTTTTAATTCATGTTGTGATTTTTTTAACTGAATATTTTTGACCTGTAATTGGTTGAATCCAAGAATCCGAAACCCATGATATGGAGGGCCAACTGTATTTGAAATTGTTTTTTTAAGAAATTAAAAATATTAATAAAAA